CCCCCTTCTTTTTATGGCTTTTCAAGCATTGTCTCCCCTTACTAGGGTCATTATCAAAATGCATTTTATTTTCTCTCACAATCTGTTTAGATCACCACGCGGATCATTGTGTTTCTTTTCTCACAGATGACTTAAGCTAGTTTTGTGAATCCATTTCTTTAAAACGCCTGTAAAGATGACGCTTCAGTCACACACTGTTGCCCACTTCCAAATAAAATGAAGCATTGTCTGCCTCCCCCAAAGACACCTGCCGTGGCCCAGGAGTTGCTAATGAGTATCTGAGAGTAGCATTTGCATGGGTTGAAGGAGTCAGGGATACTTTTCTCTGAACGTCTTTGTGGGTGATTTTGGGTTTTTGTGTTTTGTTTTAAGAATCTATTTACAGTTAAATGAAAAAAAAAATGTTCGAAAGAAGCCATTAGTGCATTATTGAATTCTCATTTCCAGCCAACAGCTGTGTTGTGCTTTAATGTACGAGGGTATATTTGCTGGTGCTTCTGCCCTGTTCTTTCGATTTCCATGAATATGCCACACTCAGCACTCAAGGCTGCGTGGCTGTACATTGTTTCTTACATTCATTACGCGTTTCCTTCTTCCGAGTCAGCAAAGCTTCACCAGATAGCCAGAGGCCTGGAGGAGTAAACACTTCATTATAAATCCTTCCCTTGTGTACAAATTTACCGAATTAAAGGCCTGCATGGATGGAAACGCACTGGAACCTTCCGGGACAGGTTTTTGACAATTACTAGATTTGACTGGGAGGGATATTACAGGGAGACTCTTGAGTATCCCAGAAACATAAAAGAAGGTATTTACACAAAAGATACCATGAAGGAAAAGCGTGAGCAGTACAACACAAATGCTGCCTGTTGTTTTCCGTAGCCTTCCATTGCCATGATGTAACCTGTAAGAAACAATTTCATGTCTTTTGTCTCCAGGGAAACTTAGCATTTCTATTATGTTCTATTCCAGTTCAAGTCTCTTATTTCATCTCTTTCAATAAAACAATGCTTTTTTTTTCCTTCCGTTACACGAAAAGTCCAACCTAGAAAGATATTAACTTACCTCATACACTCTATGCTGATTTACTTTTAATTGAATCAACATTGAGGCTATTTCACCAGAGAAGAGGGAATATTAAGTGCTCTTCGCTTCGAAGTGACTTGCAACACAGAAAAATGTTCTCCCCAACCCCAGTATGAGGGATTGAGCCCAGGCTAACCTACATTCCCAGCCCTTTTGTAAAAATTTGAGATAGGATCATCCTGAGGTGCTAAGCTGAGAAAAAGTGTTCTTGAGTTCCAACATTTATAACCTCTGCACACGAGTGAGACACACCCTTCTACAAAGGAAAAGTATACCCCATTCTAATTAAAGAGGAATGAAAAATATCAAGGTGATTAGCCTGGAGAGTCATTCAAATTATTGCCGTATGGTTGTCAGGTAGTTGTCTTGGGTTTGCACACCCGCTGGCCTGACTCAAGTAAGATGAAAGGATTAATTTGCGGCAAGCATATGTGTGCAATGGAAAGAGATGGGGCTGAGCTACGACAGCATTTGTGTACGTCCTCACACGCAGCCACAGGGAGTGGGGAATCCATAACTGCCACGAAGATCTCCAGAATCGGGAATGACCTATTTTTCAATCATCAAACATGGTATGATTTCAACCTCCTTTTACTTTTCAGGTGGTCCGAGACATTCTGCTGATTGGACACAGACAGGCTTTCGCATGGGTTGATGAGTGGTACGGTAAGTCAATTTCCCCAAAATAACTTGTAGAACAATTTCATAACACGTTGACTTGGGCTTTCAGTGCATCCTGCTTCCACTGCTGCCTAGGAAGATAACAACAAAGGCAGGTTACTGCTTCCTGTATTGGAAGTAGCCCTGTCCATGGGGCTTAATAAAGATGTAATTATAGAAGCTTGGTCTAAAATAGCCACAGCTATTGACTGATAGGACCTCAGTATATTTGATGCTCGTACTGACATGCAGGGCTCTACCGTTCTCTGTTGGGTGTGTTTCACATCCATCCTAATTTATCCCAAGCTTCAGTTCAAGATCAAAGCTGCCTGAAGCACCGTGTCAAGTAAAAGCAGTCTTTTGATTCAGAGAACACTTGCAACTATCCCTTGCCAAATATGCAGAGGTTCTGTGAGTGTTCAAGGGCAAACAGAGACAAGGAGGCACAGTGCCCCATTCATTCTAATTGAACTACTGTTCTGGCTCTTTTTCTTTTTTTTTAATGAAATGGGAAGAGTTAAACAGGTTCTGCACATTGTCAGTATATGAAAACAAGGCTTGCCGCATCCCTTGATGGACAGAACATTCTCCCCAGACCCTCAGCACAATCGTTTTGTCCCCCTGAATCTTCTGTGCTCCCAGAATTAGTCACCAGATAGCTGTGTCCTTGGCTATAAATAGAAATAAGCACACCCAGTGGGTGACTTAGGTTAGATCTGACTTTCAGGTCGATTGTCTAATGAAATGCCCCTCCTCCTTGGCCTTTTCCTAAGTCACATTAAACTTGTTCTGAGTGTTGTATTTTGATCCCTTTCCATCATTATTCCACTCCCTCCCTCCCTCCCTTTTCTTAGCAGAAAAGAACCTAATTTAAAGTAAAAAGGTATGTTGGGAAGGAGCAGAGACAATGATGGTCATTAATGTCACCAGCTCTTTCTGAGCCACACTTTTAAAGGGAGGGTTCTGCAGACTATGGGCTTTTTTGTTTTGTTTTTCTCAGTGTCTCCAGATCTGCACCTTCTGAAAAATAAATGCCTCTTCCTGGGCTTGTCCAAATGCAGATCATCATTTATTCTCTCTTATCACATACCACAGGGTGCCACCCTAATTGGCAAGTTGTCATGCTTCTCTAACATGGCAAAGACCTCTCTATTTGTGCTGTCTTTTATGAGGCAGGTAGACGGAGTCTCCTGTGATTCATTCCTCTGATCCTTAAACAAATATTTTGGGTGGTTTTTTTTTTTTTTTCTAGCCAACTTTTCTCAGATTTTTCAGAGGGAGAATAGACTAAAAAAAAAATGTGAAAAATTTCTGGCCTCTCCTGTCGTGGACTCATGGCAGTTTCCCTGTTACCAACACCAAGAAACTATCAAAAAGATATTCAAAGGATAATAGACTTCAACTGGTAGAAACTTGGCAAGAGGTCAGGCACCTGAAGAGTCTAAAATCTGCCACCCTGAGGACCAACAGACAGGGCACTTGGATGGGTTTCCCTCTGGTGCCCAAATGTCATTGAGGGCTTTTCAAAAAAAGGCAGCAGCAGAAGGACAGGCAGGTTCTGACCAAGGGGGTAAAACACTGCCAGGCTGTTCATCAGGAAAAGAGGGTTTGATTAGAGACAGGATTTGGAAAGGAAAAACATGCTTATGCGTATCTGGTTAGTGAATGGCTGAATACAGAAGCCGGGGGCTGATTATTTTGTATCTCAGCTAAGCAGGGGCAAGGAAGAGATTTAAGGGCATCTAAGAAAGAGAGATGCTCACCTAGTGTGTTCAAGGCCCTGGGTCCAAGCCCTAGCACCAGAGAGAGACAGAGAAATTCTCCAATTATAGAGGACCAAATCTAGAATGATATCTCCAAAGAAATGAAGATTGCTAGCTGGACACCTGTGAGAACAACTACCTGTTTACTTATGGCGGGTCAGGTGAAGGAGTGTTTTGATTCAAAAGTTCTTTCTGTGCTGGTAAGGGTGGTGTGTGCCTATTCCCAGCACTCTAGGAGGCTGAGTATCACAAGTTAGTGCCCAGCCCAGGCAACTTAGCAAATTTGCAAGACCAAAATAAAAAGAGCTGGAGGTACAGTCCACTGTATATGGCCCTAGGTACTGTATATTAGTGCAACAAAGAGCATAGCTCTAGTGTATGTAGATCACCTGGGTGCCTTGTACCCCGTCCTATATCCAGTCATAGCCCCGACCAAAACAGGCAGCCCTTTCCCTCGGCAGGGCTGTCTGAGACCTACACCCTCAACTTCACGTGAACTACTACTTTCTGAACTGAGCTAGCCTGGAACACAGTGGCTCCTTCGTTAGCTGATACAGACCTTCAGGAAACCAAATGAATGCAGACAGCCCCTGTGCTTCTCAGCCCAAGGCCAAGGGCCCACTGAAGGATAACCTTCCAGTTTAGGCATTCTGAATTTGTTTAATTTCCTTTGGTTGGTACAGGCCCAAAGAGTCTCTCGTTAGTAAACATGGGAAAGATCCAAAGTAAAGAAACCCTTGCTTGTGGCTATGACTTACTGCACTGGTTCTCAGTAAGGTCCCTGGACCTGAATATCTGTTAGAAATGCATATTCTCAGACCTCCACCCCAAACCTACCAACTCAGAAGCTTTGAAAGGGTGTCTAGCCACACTGTGTCTTAAAAGCCCTCCAAATGATTCTGAAATTCTAACTTATAGCTTGGACTGTAAGCCAGACAGGACTACAAGGACAGTGTGATTAATTCAGTCCAAACAGGTTAGACGAGAAAAATCATAGATGTCTTCAGGGCCAACTGCTAAACTCTGATGCCTGTGACAATTAGAGAAAAGCAGCCCTGGTAAGCAGATGAGTTAGGAATGCAGGCACTCCTCCTGGGCAGACTCAGTGGATGCCATGGACTCGGGGGCAGAGTTGAGCCCCATTTCCCTCCTGGGCTGTGTGCCCATCCGACGCACACTCTGTACACCCTGCTGCACCATCCACAGTAGCCCTGGCTGTTTTCTTCTCTAATTACTCACCACCTCCAGTGCTTAAGTAAGAGTCAAGAAAAGAGGTGTTATAGAGGATGGTGATCTTTTCTCATCCAAGGATCAATTTTGCATCTCTTCTGAGTTCCAGTCTTTAGGCAGCCACAAAACTGTTTCCCTAAACAGATTTTATTCTGCTCATGTTCCTTGGAAAGTGTAACAGTTTCCATGTTGGAGAAGTTGAGTTTGTCTTTCAAAGCCCTGCTTGGTCATTTACTGTGAGCCTTGGGTCTCTCTGCATGACTGGAACACTAATCAGAGAAACAACAACACATTTCAGAAGATGGGGTGAGAGGGGCGGTGGATAAAAATAGCCGCCCAGCTTCATAAAAGCATGGTTTTGCTTCACAAATCTGACAGTATTTTGAAAGAGAAACCACTCAAGATGGCCAGAGGGCACCTATGACTGAGTGGAACCTCACAAATGTCTTTGAAAACTTAACTCCTCCCTGAAAAGTAAGGAAGGGTGAATTCTGGCTGATGCAGATGAAACAATCTCATGAAAGTGACTTAGAAATCAGCCTGGAATCCCTAGAGCTGGCCTAATAATGAAAGAAGTGAGAAGTTTGCTAGGGACCAGCATTAGTTGGCTGAGTTCACCAGGCCAGCATTTTCCACTGGCCCCATATTTCCTGAAATGTAATTTTGAGTTCCATCGCTCTAGTGTTACATTTTACACATGTGTGCTTATGTTCATTTTTCTAGGGAGAGAACTCAGAGCTTTCCATCGCAATTTCAAAGGAATCTGTAACCCTTCCCTTTTATCCCTAATAAAAAGAAAAACTACTGTAGATTATAGTTCTGGACTTTAGCAGTCTGAATTACATGGAAATGATATGCTCCAAAACTTATGGATAAGCTGCTTCCAATTTTTTTAAAAAGGACACCCAAAGATTTTATAACAAGCATATCAAGCCAACCATGCTTCCCAAAGGATGGCCACCATTTTGCCAGAGCCAAGTATAATTCATGACTTCTGGATACTCCCTGACCCACTTGTTCAAGACAGTAGTTTTTAGTTAGAATGAGAAAAAAAAAAAA